TTGAATTGAAAACAGCCCTTTACACAAGAAACAAATGTTAGAAAACAAACAGAAAGAACTCATGGACACAACCCAAATTGCTTCAAGACCCAACAAATTTCGAGTAGTCACAGTCTCTTCAAATTGATTTAACACAAGTAAAGGAGTCAGCAAGAATTGTACATTTGCATTTGCATTTGCATTTGCATTTGCATTTGCATTTGCATTTGCATTTGCATTTGCATTTGCATTTGCATTTGCATTTGCATTTGCATTTGCATTTGCATTTGCATTTGCATTTGCATTTGCATTTGCATTTGCATTTGCATTTGCATTTGCATTTGCATTTGCATTTGCATTTGCACATGTGCATCATCCTCACTCACTCACTCACATCACAAACAAATAATAACAATATCAATAATTTCTTTTCTCCCTCACACTCTTGCTACGGTTAGTGTAGTAATCTGCAATCATGATGATTCATAGGAGTAAAATGTAAGGAGTTAATCACTTATATTATAAATTTTTTTTACACTACTAATTAATTATATTTTTTAATTGTATCATGTTATTATAAATATATTTATTTTTAATAATAACATAATATAATTAAAAGATATAATTAATTAATAGTGTAAAATAATAATTATTGATGAATAACTCACAAACAAAACATCCTCTCACGAGTCCCATATCGAAAAAAAAAAAAACCATTCGGCGTATTCGGTGTTATGATAAACAATATAAAGCATTCCCATTTTTTGGCGCTCCAGCGCTATCATTGCTCTATTATTCCAAACCGGTTCCAAGTTCGAACCACTCTTTCTATCTGCTGCGGTGGTCTGTACGGTCCCTATCATGGACTTGGACTGATGTGATCAACGCAGTGATGTAACCAATTACGTTGCGAGGAGTACCTGCACCGTAACGCACCGAATCATCAAAGGACCCAAAAGGCAAAAGCACAAAACAAGAAAATCATATGTAGTATTAGTCTTAACTCGCAATTAATGTGCAACATTTATTACTACTTCCCATTCATGCAATAACCAACTCTCATACATTTTCTCATTCTCAATATCATCACTTTTTCTTTTTATTTCTTTTTTCCTCACAAACAATTAATGCTTTCAATATCGTTTTGCTAAAATATTTCTTTTATTTTATTTACTGCCATATAAAATAAATATGAATAAAAAATATGCACAAATGCAATATAAAAGTTCACAAAATGCCTCTTCTCTTAGCTTTCAAAAGAGATTTTTTTTTTTGAAAACAATCACCAACAAATCTTTTAACGTGTCATTTTCTTTGTGTTACTAAAATATTATGAATACCAGATGAAATTCGTCCTTCAATTATCGTCAAATAATAATTTTTACTGTTACTAAAATACTACGAATAAGAGATGAAAATCATGAAATTCACCCTTCAATTATCGTCAAATAATAGTCCACAATATAATTCATTTGATATTATAAAAATACAATATTTATTTTGATAATTATTTACTATCATCATTTTAATTTATCAAATTAATTAATTTTATTCTTAATGTTAGAGATTAAAGTACTCTTATTAGGCATGATAATTTAATTCGCTCATGTGAGTATCCGCCCGAACCCGCCTCGATTTAGACAAGAAAAACGCGTATTTATCGGTTTGGGTTCAGATTTTTCCGCTTGATAAAATCGGGGACGGGAATATTAATACTCGCCCCGCCCACATACCCGCTCCCACTCCTACCCCGCTTAATAATATAATTTAAAAAATATTTTTATATGTATATAAACTAAAATTAAAAATATTTATATGTAAAAATTTATATTATTTTATTTTTCTTTTATTTTTTTAAATTTATTCATATTTATTTAAAAAAAAAAAAAGGAAAAAAATAAAAGAAGAAGGAAATTTACTCATGCCCGATCCCGTCCCGTTACCATGTCTAACTCTCATAAATAATTTATGAAACGACAATAGAATAGGAGACTATGCTACAAGTATAATAATAGAATAGTAGGTCATAATAGAAATGTAGGTTATGTTACTACATGATAGGAAGTAAAATAGTAAAGAGAAATACTGATTTTTTTTAATAAAAATTATAATAATAACAACAAACTTTAAATTTAAGACATGTATATATTATTCCAATTTTTATCCTCAGATCAATCTTATTGATTAGAAATACTGAATTTGATATACATATATATAATTATTTATAGAACATATTTAGATACAGTATTAGAAAGATTTTTTTTTCAATTTTTTTTTATACTTTTAAACTTATAAAACTTTATCCATTATCGGAACAAATTGTCCATCTTCATTCAATTATTCTATGTATACAAAAATTAAGTTAAATTAATTAATAAGTACGTATTAAAATAAAGATTAACTTATTTGTTCATAATAAAGGAAGATGATCTTAGAGGAAGGGCATAAAAGTACTTTTAGTATTCATTTAGGAAATATTAAAATGTATCAGAGTGGCGCAACGGAAGCATGACCTAAGGAGAAAAGAGAAGTAGAGGAATTTGTATACTAGTATATAATATGCCAAAAGTTTAAGGTGGAACACTAGAGTCTTTTAATATTTTTACTGTCTATAGATGTCCTAATTTGGAAATAAGATTCTGTATCTATGAACTTAGTTGTAGTTATATCTGATATGCTTAAGAAATTTGATCCTATTTGGATTATAATGGATAGATTTGTTAAGTTTGATCACCTTGTACTTATTAACATTAGACATTTCTTGGAGAGATTGATAGAGTTGTACATCAATAAGGTAGTGAGTGCTACAAGGGAATTAGAAAGAAAGATGCAAGAAACTTATCTATTTCTGTTTTCAAGTAAATTTCGGGGACGAAATTTCTAATAGGAGGGGAGAATTGTAACACCCTGAATTTTCTACTAATAGGCTACTAATTATTATTTATTTTTATATTTATGAAGATTATTATTTTAGTTAATTAAAAGGGGCTTTATAGAATATTTTAAAGGTTTGTAATAATTTAAATTATTTATAAAAAATTAATTCTGATTTTTTTTAGGCCCAGAACGGCCTGTTCCGAAAAGCGGAACGAGCTGTTCCCAGAAAGCGGAACGAGCGTTCCAAAAAGTGGAACGGGCCGTTCCAGATAAACAAAATGGCCTAAAATCTAAAGTTGAAAACGGGGAGTATGAAATATCTATATTTATCTTTCTTTATGGTTAAAGAGATGTATCTTTTGGCTCAAATTAAGAATTTAAGTTTGACTTGTGTAATTACTCCTAGTAGTGGGAAACTAGGTATGACTTGAGTAACGAGGAGATTGTTGAAGGGTATTGAATAAGCATAATTAGTCGATTCATTTTGGTGGCAAGGCATGAAGCTATAAGACAAGGTAGTAGATATAAGGTTGCCTTGGGTATAGATAGGGTGGTAAGACTTAGAGATTGATTATACGTACCTAGTAAACTTACGCTTAAGTACTTGATCCTTGGAAAGGGTCATAAAAATTAAAGTAATATGGTGACAAATGTCTTCAGTAGGATGACCATTCATCTATCATTTTTGATAATGTAAGGGTTGAATTTGATTGAGGAGATTAGAAACTTAAGTGAAATGTGTGAGCTCACCCTTAGGAGCATTGAATTGAGTATGTTGAAAGGACTAATAGATTAATATATGTGATTAGAGGACCCAGGAGTTAAATTCTTTCTTAGTGAACCAAGTGGAAAAGATTAGTAGAGGTATAGGTAGCCCTTTACGCTTGGAAGTTGATGGTGTTTTGAGATTCAAAGATAAAATATGTGTGCCTAGTAATCTCGAATTAAGGAAGATGATCTTAGAGGAAGGGCATAAAAGTACTTTTAGTATTCATTTAGGAAATATTAAAATGTATCAGAGTGGCGCAACGGAAGCATGACCTAAGGAGAAAAGAGAAGTAGAGGAATTTGTATACTAGTATATAATATGCCAAAAGTTTAAGGTGGAACACTAGAGTCTTTTAATATTTTTACTGTCTATAGATGTCCTAATTTGGAAATAAGATTCTGTATCTATGAACTTAGTTGTAGTTATATCTGATATGCTTAAGAAATTTGATCCTATTTGGATTATAATGGATAGATTTGTTAAGTTTGATCACCTTGTACTTATTAACATTAGACATTTCTTGGAGAGATTGATAGAGTTGTACATCAATAAGGTAGTGAGTGCTACAAGGGAATTAGAAAGAAAGATGCAAGAAACTTATCTATTTCTGTTTTCAAGTAAATTTCGGGGAGTCTTTTAAAATCCTACAAAATTCTAAACCAATACACCCCCCTTAGATTCTAAATTTAGTTATCCGAAATTAAAGACAATATTATTTTTCTTAGTACTCGTAATTGGAAGAGGAAGTTTAATTAATGCGTTAATTAGAAATAGACGTTTTAGTGTATGTTTTGTTTGGATTATTAAACTCAAGTTTTCCTTCTCTTTTTATGTCCAATTCTAAATTTGCAAAGAAGTAACTATTTTCTAGTTTGGCTTAAACGTGAAAAATCACGTCTCATAAAAACACGCTACTAGAGTGCAGCATTGTGAAAATGTTGAAAGCGCGCGATTGTGTTGGACGCGTCTTAGGTTCGTGTCAAATCTCAATTCGATCTTATCTACATAGTTATCTAAGACCTAGGTGTGGCATTTTCGTAGTTTTCCCCGAAAGCAGGTGTCATTAATCCGACAGTCGTTTTCAATTTGTCGATGCCGTTTTCTCTCTCTCTCAGAAAAAAAACACTTTTTTTTTTTTTTTTTCTAGGGTAGCAAGCACCGTAGCAGAGAGAGTGTGAGACTTTAGCAGAGGGTGAGGCTCACTTGGAAAGCAGTGACAGGGACTGATGCATGTTCACGCACTCAACGGTCAAGATTCTCTCAATATCCCATCATCAAAATCCACGCCTTTCGTTTCCATCGCCAACCAACCATCCATCATGGTTAGGAGGATAAGGTAACCATGGTTAAATAAATCTACACTCAACCATTTGGGTTACTTGCTTTCCTTTCACCACCACCACCCTTCTTCTCTCATTCATTCTTCAGTTTTTTCTCTTAACATGTGACTCACAAAAACCCTTGCTTTCACTCTTTCTCTCACTCTCAGGTCTAAGCTGGGCTGGGTGGTGTGCTCTATAATGTAAATTACGGTTTGTGCAAAACTTGGATTTTCTCAGATCTATCCAACTTCGCCCTTTTAATCTCTTTGCAAATCGTCATCATCACCATTTCATTTGCGAGATCATAATTTTTATGCTTTGGTTTTCCTCTCTTCCCCATCATTTTTCATTTTTTTTTTCTCCGGTTGTGAGAAAGTGAGTTCTTTTTTTTGTTACCCTTTAAGCAGATCCAACTTAGCAAGTGTAAAATTTCAGTTTTTATCGGTATTCTCTTTTCGGGCCTCGCCCCATGTTCTAGATTTGAAGATCTTGTTATTGTCTCACTCTTGTCTGGACCAAGATCTGTTCCCCCTTTTCTGATTTTAGATCCTGGTTTTCTTCATGATGTAGTAGGACTTCAAATTTGAGAGCTTTACATTTCACCTTTCTGGGGTTGTTTTTTCCCCCTTTGGAGTATGAGAATTTTCATGAAAAGTTGGGGAGTTTGGATCACTGAGTGAGAGAAAGAAGAGAACTAAAAACTACAAATGATGAATTATTTCCCGGACGAGGTAATAGAGCACATCTTTGACTATGTGGTGTCACACCGTGACCGGAACGCTTTGTCTTTGGTGTGCAAGAGCTGGTACAGGATAGAGAGGTTTACGAGGCAGAGAGTGTTCATAGGGAACTGTTACTCCATCACTCCGGAGAGGTTGATCCAGAGGTTTCCTGGTCTCAAGTCTTTAACTTTGAAGGGAAAGCCTCATTTTGCTGACTTTAGTTTGGTTCCTTATGATTGGGGTGGTTTTCTGTGTCCGTGGATTGAGGCACTGGCCAAGAGCAGGGTTGGTTTGGAGGAGCTTAGGCTCAAGAGGATGGTGGTCTCGGATGAGAGCCTGGAGCTACTTTCTCGTTCTTTCACACACTTTAAGTCTTTGGTTCTTGTTAGCTGTGAAGGGTTCACCACCGATGGCCTTGCTGCTATAGCTGCAAATTGCAGGTGAGAAATCTTCTGTTGTTGATGTATGGCTGTTAGTTTTTGTTACAGAGCTTTTGTTTTTTTGTCTGTCTTTGTTTTTTACTTGGTTTATGGCCTTTTTTCCCTGTTGTTTTTGGTGTTTTGGAGGCTGTATGGTTGAAGGTATATTCTGATTGGTTTTGTCTTTGTCGTCTTGTGCTGTCAAAGTTCCATGCTGTTTTGGATACTTGTTAGTTTAGTTGATTATTGGCTTGTATTCTCTGTGGCTACCAGTTGGGGAAAGTAGTTTAATTTGTTGAGCAAAGTGGTTGAATGAATGGCTTTGAACTTGGCTTTTGGTACATGTCAAGATTTGTGGACAAACTAGTGCCCAAGAGCGTTTTGAAAGCTTGATTGATCCGTTCTTTCTTAAGTTAATTGTTAACTTGTGAATTGTTCATGATTAAGAATAATCTTGATCCGTTCTTCCTGAAAAATAATCTTGTTTGTATGTTTAGGTGTGGGGTTAAGGTTGAATAATGTTGATTAATGTATCACATGTGGTTGAGAATTTTGTGCAGGGAGTGTGTTATTGACTCCTATGTTGCTTGTGTTTTATTTGTTTAAAATGTAGGTTTCTTAGGGAGCTGGATCTGCAAGAAAATGAAGTTGAAGATCACAAAGGGCAGTGGCTAAGTTGTTTTCCTGATAGCTGTACTTCACTTGTCTCTCTGAATTTTGCTTGCCTTAAAGGAGAGGTTAGTTTGGGAGCTCTAGAGAGACTAGTGGCCAGATCTCCTAACCTGAAGAGCTTAAAGCTGAATCGTTCAGTGCCCCTCGACGCACTGCAAAGGATAATGATGCGAGCACCTCAACTAGCGGATTTGGGAATCGGATCATTTGTTCATGATCCAGATTCAGAGGCCTACATAAGGCTCAAGAATACCATTCTCAAGTGCAAGTCCATAACCAGTTTGTCAGGGTTTTTGGAAGTTGCTCCTCACTGTCTTGCAGCTATCTATCCTATTTGCCCCAACCTAACGTCCTTGAACTTGAGCTATGCAGCAGGCATTCAGGGCAGCGAGCTGATAAAACTAATTCGCCACTGTGGGAAACTTCAGCGTTTATGGGTAAATACATCGAAACCTAAACCTGTTCATTTCATTTGTGAGTCTTATGTTGTTGGTGAATGTCAATAATTGCTAGACTTGTGCAGATAATGGATTGCATTGGAGACAAAGGACTAGGTGTTGTAGCTATGACATGTAAAGACTTGCAAGAATTGAGAGTTTTTCCATCTGCACCCTATGGGAATCCAGCAGCTGTGACAGAAAAAGGGTTGGTTGCAATATCAATGGGTTGCCCCAAGCTTCATTCATTGCTCTACTTCTGCCACCAGATGACAAATGCTGCCCTCATAACCGTGGCAAAGAACTGTCCAAATTTTATCCGCTTTAGGCTGTGTATCCTTGAAGCATTGAAACCTGACCCTGATACATTGGAGCCGCTGGATGAAGGTTTCGGCGCAATCGTGCAGTCTTGCAGGCGGCTCAGGCGCCTATCGCTCTCCGGCCAATTGACTGACCAGGTGTTCCTCTACATAGGAATGTATGCTGAGCAGCTTGAGATGCTGTCAATTGCGTTTGCTGGGGAGAGTGACAAGGGAATGCTGTATGTGTTGAATGGATGCAAGAAGCTTAGGAAGCTTGAGATCAGAGACTGCCCTTTCGGCAACATGGCACTTCTGACGGACGTAGGGAAGTATGAAACAATGCGATCCCTTTGGATGTCGTCATGCGAAGTGACCGTCGGAGCCTGCAAGCTGCTGGCCAAGAAGATGCCAAGGCTGAATGTGGAGATCTTCAATGAGAATGAGCAAGAGGATTGTAGTCTGGAAGATGGGCAGAGGGTAGAGAAGATGTATTTGTATCGTACATTGGCTGGGAAAAGGAAAGATGCACCAGAATATGTATGGACCTTGTAGGTGCATTTTTAGGTCATTTAATTTCTTGTTATTCAGAAGTTTGTACTTGCTTTTAGGCTGACTGATTAATGCAATTTTAGCCGGGTGGTGTAGTGTTTTGTCATTTCCTTGCATTTTCTAGTTTTATACATGCTAGATTGCTTTTTCTCCTAGTTATTATTGTTCCATAATGCCACTTTTTCTTACGTACATTATTAGACTGAGTATTATGCTTTTCTCTACTTGAATTAGTTTTCACTATAACTGAAGTTAAGCTTGTACTTGAGCTTGTTCGTTTTCTCGTCTTAGATGAAGCATTTTTCTTCTTTTATGTTCATGTGCTAAGGTGAAACATAATTTAGTCTGTTTGTATACACTTTTTGAAAGTTTCTTTATTGAAAATAGAGTATATTTTAAGTATAGAAATTCTTAAAAACACTTTTAAACTTAGATTAAAGCAAGTTCTTAGCAAGAATTCATTTGTTGGAGAATGGTTAAATCGATGAACCCAGCTTAGGTGGACACAGCTCAAGGACCCAGTGGAACAGCTATAGAATCTGTCCTGATTTCATTTTCTGCAACACCATTACAAAAATTTGGCATTGGTATGAACATAAACTCTGTTGGCTCATTCCAGGCAAATAATTTGAGCTACTTAGCACTTTTCAATGCCCAACTATAAGTATATATTATGTTTATTGTCCAAATTTGTTTTTTCCAATTGCCTTTACTCGAGGACAAGTATAATTGATAATACGCTTATAGTGTGTTTGGATGAGAAATTTTACAAATTCAAGGAATTTAAAATTCTTGGTATTTGAATTACTTTGATTTCAATTTCTATCATTCTTAAAATATTTTGTTTGGATAAGTCAATTCAATTTTTTTAAACTTTTAAATTGTTAATTTGGATATGATAATTTGATTTTATCATGATAAAATTAATTTTAAAAATATATTTATATGTTAAGATTTTTAAATAAAATTTTATAAAAATAAATATTAACCAATTTTTAAATATTTAATAATTTTAAAATTTAATATTAAATAATATTTAATATTTTTTTAAAATATTTTTGAATATTCAATAATTAAAAATATGAAGATATAAGATAAAATATATAAGTGAAATAAGGGGAAAAAATATGAAGAATTTCAAATTCTTACCTTTTTGGGAGAATTTGAAATTCTATTATTTCAAAGAATTTTACAAATGCTTGGATTTCAAATTCTTTGTAAATTCTCCATCCAAACAAAGTATTTCACCTCAAAGAATTTGAAATTCTTCAAACAAATGAATTACTCCATTAAAATTCTCCATCCAAACATACTCTTATAGTCTTGATGCATGGCCATCTATCATCATAAATTGGCAGTTTGAAACTTTATCTTACTATGAGATTTAACACAAGTTACATTTTTAACTTCTAAACTTGTTTTTAAGACCAAATTTGCTTTTAAGTGATCCATCTAAATATGATCTTGCGTTTCTTACCAAGTCTCTTTTTCAGTCCTTGAACGCATTTTGCGGGACGTTTACGAGTCCGGTATTTAAAATCTCACATGAATATGTCATCATCGCATTATTATCATCAATCATTGTCTCGAGTAAATTTTTAGAGCATTTGTACAACTGGTAATCATTTCGGAAGTTACAAAATACTAGAATGTATTAATTTGGATTGACATAAGTGATAAGAGACTTACCTCGCTTAATTAAATAAGTAAAGAGTTTAAATATTGATTCTTGAAAAACTTATTCAATGCATGTTAAATTTTTTAATAAAATAATTTTTGTGCTAAATAAAAATATTTTTTGGTAATGAACTTAAAAAAAAGAAGCCAAAAATGCAATAGAGCATATTCACTAACTAAAATTTGGAGCCATGGCTATTTAAACATCTATCTCTAAGAAAAAAAATTAAACATCCCTCCCTAAGCAGGATTTAGGAAGAGTGGGAAACCTATATTGCAAAAAGATCTTAGTGTATTGGGATTGGTGGTGAGTTAAACTCATCATGATTTTTATAAGCAACAAATAGTTACCTTTGTAGTTAACTCCATGATTTTTTACCCGTTATAATTTTCTAACTCCAAACCAAACACTATTAATCTCTATTCTGGCTTAGCTTGTGCCGAGCAGTGTTTATAAATCAAACTGAATTGACTGGCTTAACTGTGATCGGACATTTCAGTTTTCACTAATCTAACCAACTCATATAACACGATTTAAAAGGCAATTTTAAGAATCATTGTACACGCCTTTTTGTCAATCCGGTTCAATGCTTTAATGTTGAAAAATGCTTGAAGTTGCCTTTTTCAAACTCAGGTTCCTCCTATGTTGAAATGCTGTCAACCTACCTTTTCCAGTACATAAACGATTTTAGGATACACGTTTCATTTATAAAAAACAAACTTACAATTGTTTATAGGCTTAAATGTAATGTTGTCGAAAATATATCATTTTTTCTGAAATTAGTCTCCGCTTAAATTGTGTTTAGTTTTTGAGTGCGTGTTTGGTTTCAATTTTGAAACGTAAATTCTTCTTCTCTTTCCACGTCCACTTACTAATTTACGGAGAAGCTGCTATTTTCTCCTTCCAATTAAACGTGAAAATTCACGTTTCAACGCATGTTCAAACACACGGTGAAAATTATAAATGAAACGCATGTGTTTTTAGTTCTTGGTAGAGGAATAAAACTTCATTATTTTTGTTTAATGTAAAGACTATAAATGAATAGTTTTTTTTATATAAAGATTAAAAAAATAAAGCATAATTTTGTGGGATAAAATATATATTTAAATCTATATATCAATACACACATTGCTTCAACCACGACTTACAATACAACAATTAAACCAATGAACCGTAAATTAAATTTTACTACCGATTTTAAATCCATTGCTACCAAGTATGCAAGAATGAATGGTGATTAACGATGGTAGCAAGGTATAACCATAATATATTAGTCTGTTATTCCACATAAAGAGACTGTTGTTTACTATTTCCAATATACATTAAGCACTCATACAAAGAAATTCACAAAGATCACATCATAAAATCTGTGAACAACCCAGAAATGAGCGAGGGCAATGGTAAAGACCAAGAGTTACAACAATGACTAGTACTTGTCAGGTCCCGCACATATCAAGACATTAGAGGAAACATTTATCCAGAGAGTTATAACCAACCAAGTACACCAAACTGCAGTTGCAACTTTAATATGATTATCAGAAAAAGCAACACTCCTCTAGCAAACAACAGCAACAAAACGCTGACAAGCTGCACATGTAAACAAAGAAATCTTAGTCTTCCAACACCAAAAAAAAATCCTTTTAAAAGGACAAGCAATATAACACTGAAAGTAAAATAGGATTTCATATGATTTTTTTAGTTGAAAAAGTTGATTTCTAAAGCTGAAAGATAACAATTGTATAGAATTTCCTTTTGTTCAATGATATGTAAGAAAAGCAAATTGATATTTCTGCACATTAAGGAAAGCTTGTAGAGACATGAAATATTTTTCCATAGACCCTAGACTGTCGTTGAAAGTTTGTTAAACCGATTACTTGTCCACGTTGCCAAATCAAAGCTTGGCTTTGGCTTAATATATTTAAACAAATGACTTGAATATGAATGCATTATTGAACCAAAAAACGTACGAGATTTGCAATTAAAAAAAGAGTTAAGCTCATCAGTGAAATGTAAATTCTGAGTTAACTTTGACCCTTAGATTATGTTTTAATCTAATGTTTCTAGGTCACCCAATCTTATAGTGTAATATGAAATTAATGGAAGTAATGCAATAGTGAAAACTGACTCAAATGAATAAAGAGAATTTAACTCTATTCGTTATCAATTTTCTTTCAGAAATTCAATATTTGCTTGATGAATTCCTAGAACTACAGGGTTGATACTTGATACCAGGTTAATCATTCCGAGCAACAGGAGATGTAATCAAAAGAGGGGGCACAGTTGTCAAAAGGATTTTGTTTTAGTTGTCCAGAATACTTTTGGTCTCAAGTAATGTTACCCAGTTTTATAAAATTTTACACAACAAAGGCTTCGTCACATGTGGACATCTAAAAAGTTATTCCTTGGCGATGTGAAGTGATGGATATATCCATGGATTCTTTGGAGAAGTACAGTACAGGTGTCCTTGGTCCAGATAAAGCGTCAGAGTTTTATGATGAATGCATACATTTACTTATTAACTATAAAGTTAGATTAACTTGAGTTTGCCAGTCAGAAATCAGAATATAGATCAAGGACGTGTTTTTGTCTTGCCAATGCAGATTCCTTTTAATGGTATATACTTTGGGGCACCTAATAGAACATCAGGGAGACAGTGTAAATGGGTTGTAGGAAACGAGAGAACCAAGAGAAGTGAGAAAAGATATCTGTTATTGAAATATCAGAACAAAGAGAAGCCTCCTCCAAAGGTTTCCCCTTAGGCCATTACAACTGAGCATTGTGCTCAGTTATCTGTTCAAACCACAGAAGAATATGGCCTCTACTACATTTTATGTCATTTATTCCCTTCGCACCTCTAACCACAAATAGATACTCTAACTGTAATATCCTAACTTTCTAATTCCAAGTGTGTGTATCTCCTACTGTACACTCTCCATATATATTAAATATTACTTCCATTAGCCTTAGCCTGCAGGGTTTTGTTCCTGCATTTTCTACCAAGTCTTTAGCTACTCATAATATATATGATTATCATGCCAATGTTAGACATAGTTTGCATTGAGTAGAAACAATTGTGAAATTACTCTTAATGTGCATCTTCAGGACTCAGTTTTAATTGCGAGTGATTAACTATGTTATGATTTGCCTTCAATCTAAAAGCCTAAGGTGGTGTTTGGTACAAGGAATTTTTCATCTTTCATTCCCAACTAAACTACGTTCCCACGAGATTTCTAGGAATAGGATTCCTGAAAAAGCTTATAAATTCAGTTATTATTCAATTTCCCTAATAATAATATATACCATCAATTACCATGGGAAAGTTTAATAACTTTACACTCGATTACTATGAGAAAGTTTTACTCTTATCTATGAAGGTGGGAAAGCTTTTCACCCACTTATTCATAAATTAGCATTC